GAGAGGACAGGGATATCGGAGATTGGCCGCTTTTATTGTGGTGGTTTGTGAGGTAATTCCGATAACACACAGATCCTCCTGCTTGTCTCTCAGATATAAAGACATATGGATACAATGTGATCACCTCCATAACACAGATACATTTGTTTCCTTTGTAGAAACTGTGAATAGGAAGATGATTGTTCTTCTGCATGCTGTAGAGGCAGCCTTTTCTTTCTTTCTTTCTTTCTTTCTTTCTTTCTTTCTTTCTTTCTTTCTTTCTTTCTTTCTTTCTTTCTTTCTTTCTTTCTTTCTTTCCTTTCCTGGCTATGTTTTATTGTTATTATACCCTTTGTCAGACAAAGAGACACATACACCCTACACACATACACATAAAAAACAACCCCACACACAAAGACACACACAAGTATAGACACACACACGCAAAGTACACACACATTCACAAAGACCTATACACACACAAAAAACATACACCCAGAAAACACACATTTTAGCCTTTTTTTTCTTTTTTACTACATGGCTACATATTTTCTATGCTTTCAGTTTCTGTTTGTAGGGCGATACTAGTGAATTTCAAACAATGGTTTATGTAATAAGACTAGTGCAATAATATACCCCCTCCCCCATTATAACACAACAGGGTGTGAAACTCCATTAATCTTGCCTGGCCCACACATCCCAGTATCTGAGGAGAAGGTCCATTCAGTGATGGGAAGGAGCAGCCAGGAACAGGGCAGCTCCGAGCTCAGACAGAGCAGCCAGGAACAAAGAGCTCATAACGCTTGGGGTGGAGGTGATGGGGATCGATGCGCTGCAGGGGCTGAGCAAAGACCCTGATTGCTGGCCATAGGTGACAGGTCCTCTTCCCGCATAGCTTCCATCATCCAGTTTTTATCATCGCACAGGTTGTGTCAAACAACAACGGTTTGTGTGTGTGCTTTCTTTATAGAATTGACCATTCAGTCTGTAAATGGTATATGAACATTGTATACCCTTCTTGTGTTGGTGCCCTGTGTGTGCACACAACTGTATACAATGGTCGCCATTGTTTGATTATAGACACGTTGGTACGGCATACTAGTGTGGAATGGGAATACAGCCTCCTATACAACCGTGTTGTGTACTGTCTGTGTGTGTGTGTGTGTGTGTGTGTGTGTGTGTGTGTGTTTGTCTGTACAATATGATTGCAGTCTCATTTACAGCAATTGCTGTGTTACCCAGTGTGTGTGTATTGTGTGTACTATATATGCTCCATGTATACCGTGTATATTCCGTGTGTATATAGTGTGTGCACGGTGTGTCCTGTACATATGGGGTGTACTGTGTGTACAATATAACATTCTCTGTGTTACACACTAGAACAGATCCGTCCTGTACATTCCCTCCCACACAATACTAATAATTGAAGGTCTACACTGTGATAGCGAGGACATCTCTTCCCCTCTACACCCTTATTGGACTCCATGGAGGAGCTCCCTTCTTATAATAAAGTGTCTATATTACATATGTTTGTAACACTCAGCAACTCATTTGTTTCCTACATTCTCCTTATGTAGCAGGTTCTGGAATATCTAATTAAATATGTATTTCTTGTATTTGTAATCAACAAGTAACAAGTTGGTTACCTCTGGTGATGGGATTAAAATGATACAGATATAGCAATTCTAAAGAGATGAATGTATAATGTTCTATGTGGTAAATGACACACAAGTTTTACGTCAGAGTACACTGATTCATAGAGCGCAAGACTGTTTGTATTATTATATTATATTATGCTAGTACAATGCAATGTATTATTTGATAATATAGGTAATACTGCTGATAAGTATTCTGTGTAGGTGGAGTATTGAGAAACATGTTTATATGTCTATTTTATATATAAAAAACAAACAAACAAACCAAAAAAACTGCGTTGTTTTAAAATAATGTTTGCACGATTTAGCAAACCATTGGCAAACAAACACTGGGTATCTAGAATATTTAAATAATAATAATAATAATAATAATTATTATTATTATTATTATTATTATTATCAATAGCAATTATTACAATAATAATTATAATAATGACAGTAATAATAGTAGTAATAATAATAATGATGATGATAATAATAATAACAACAACAAAGTTGTAATAACAATAATAATAATAATAACAATAACAATTATTATTAGTAGTATTATTACTATCTGTTGTTGCACAAGTAGTGGAACTATATGTATACATTTTATTTCTACTAATGCTGTTACTACTTCTACAACTACTATTGAGGACAGTTTGGAAGTGTGTGCTGTGAAAGTGTGTGTGTGGGGGGGAGGGTTGCTATTCTTGGACAATCCACAAGTGTCATTTGAAGGAATACTGACAATAATACTGTGATTTGTGGTCCCACACAGCTGAAGCGTTGAGGGTCCTACAGGTTAAACACAGATAGCTAAAAGCGTATTAATTACTACTGAGCAATTAAATTATAGCAGGCCCACCATAGAACTGACCATCATTTATTAACTTGTGGTAAATATTTAATACACACACATTGCAGAGTGGCCTGTGATACCATTCAGCAAACACAGGTATATATTTGTAATTCCTTATCAGATATTACATTATCACATTCTCTCTCTCTCTCTCTCTCTCTCTCTCTCTCTCTCTCTCTCTATATATTTTGAATATTAATTTATATCAGATATTAAACTGTATCATAGCTATATATATGGCTATGGTACGTTTTATGTGTTGAATATTAATTTATATCAGATATTAATTACTATTCAACACAGATATATCTCTATATATCGAGTTTAATATCAGGTATTAAACTTGACCATATTTTTATATTCATATACTGTATGTCTGCTGATATGTAATTCATATCAGATGTTATATATACTGTACTATAACTGTGTATACATATATGTGTGCTGAATAGTAAGTCATATCAGATATTAAACTTCTCTCTCTCTCTCTCCTCTTGAATGATATGATATGATAAGTAATTCCTATCAGATGTTAAACTGTACTATAACTATGTATACATAAATGTGTGTGGAATAGTAATTAATATTAGATTATACACACACACACACACACAGTTATGATAGAGTTTATGTATATATACTGTGTGTGTGATGAATACTATTGCATATCAGATGTTATTCTCTATGATATCATTATAGACACGTATCTGTGCCGTACGATACAGATCGATGGATGGCATTGCATGGTTGGTGTTTGATGTGATCGCACATGGTCTGGTGGCACATCTGTGATGTGATTTCTTCTCCTGCCCCTCAGGTAGATTTCGGAAGGGAGGTGACAGCTGCTGTGCTATGATTGTGCCCTGAGGATGATGGAGAGGCTGGGGACATCAGATATGGGAGACGCTCGGGATGTCAGCTCACCTCCCCGGGAGGCGGAGAGCACGCGTGGAGTGGAGCAGAGTGGGGTGAAGGAGGGGGCGGCCCCCGGCTCCCCCCCTCGTGCTGTGCCGGTGATTGAGCTGCTCAGGAGGGGGGAGGGATCGGGGAATATAAAGGGCAGAGAGCAGGAGCTGAGACTGCAGAACCTGAGTACCAGCGAACTGTGCAGAGCCCCACTGACCCCCTCTACAGAGCTGTGCAGAGCCCCACTGACCCCCTCCACAGAGATCTGTAGAGCCCAACTCGCCCCAACCACTGAGCTTTGCAGACCCCCCTTGAACCCAACTACAGAACTGTGCAGACCCCCACAGACCCCAACCACAGAGCTGTGCAGAGCTCCCCTGACTCCAACAACAGATCTCTGCAGGACCCCTTTACCTGCTACCACCGAGCTCTGCAGACCCCCCATCCTTCTGCCAGTCTCCGGACCTCAAGCTGAGCAAGCTGCGGAAGCCCGAATGGTCCAGCTGAGCCCTCCCGCATCTCTCCCCATCCAGCCGGCGGGCAGGACCATGCTGTACGGACTGAGCCAGCCACTAACCCCCGGGAACAGGTAGGTGATTCTTTCATCGTCCTTTTTTATAACAATACAATATGAGTTTTGTTATGGCTCACAGAACATCTTCATCTACTGCTACCTGAATGATGCACATGTCAACCTGCACCTCCTACTGCCCATACCACCCTATGCTGATATCTCCTAAGCAGTATTATTCTTACTCTACTTGTTGGATTTCCATTTCTTTTTAAAATCAGTGCCTGAGGAACTACAAGTCCTTGAATGCCTTGCCCATTGGGATCTGTAGTCCGATAACATCTGACAAGCCATAGGTTGCAGAGAGCTAGTGTGTGTCATCGCTGTGATTTTTGTATTATATACTCTATTTGTTGGTTTTGCCATTCTAATCTGAAAATACTTCTTTTGCACTATACCTTAAAACTTAACCTCTTGCTGTCCGGTGTCTTGTCATCATCATTAGCACTGCACCATTATTATCATCATTGACACTTTCAGCAGCTTATCCATGGACAGATGTCTCACTAAAAATGAAAAGGGTTAAGGGATTTCCCCATGCTTGATGGCATCACCGCACCTAAATATTCTTAGAAGATGGGTATATGCCGGGCACAGGCTGTCACACTCTTGTTCCCCTTTCCTCATTGCAAGAGAACTCCAGTTGTTATCTTTTCCAAGATTTTCCATCAAGTTGGGAAATCACTGTGTGCAATAATGGGCATGTTCTACACCTGGAAGGTCTCATTATCTCCTTCCAGGGTGCAATCACACATCCTGATCCTTACAAGAAAAGCAAACATATATTTTATACCTTGCAAATAGGCGCGGATGGTTTTTCTGCACATTTCACAGTTTAAACATTATCTTTTACTGTACAAAATATTTCACCAGTAATCCATTATCTCACTGTTCATAACGTCTATGTAACATATCCAAGCTCTTTTACAATCTCTGTATCCCACCCACCCCACAGTCATCTCATGCAGAGCATCTTAATAGGTAAACCTTAGGGGAATTCCTCTTCCATGTAGCAATGCTAAAATTAGAACAAAAGGGCACTATAGCAACAAAAGGTAGAGGTGCCACCTAAAGCACCAAATCTAGGAAATTAAAGCACAAAATCTATTTTTCCATTTGCTGGTGGCAAAAAAAGAAAGCTGAAACCTAATTGGCTGTTATACACAAATTCCAATTTCCTGGCAAGAATCTTAAATTTCACGACCTCGTTGTTACTGGTTATAAGAAAGAAGTCCCTAGGTAAAAGTGACCGCACAGTAAGGAAGCACTATGCAGGTATTCTATGGAAGCTGGATACCAGGACTGGATGTTTGAAGGGTTCCTGCCCACCTAAAGCCTTGACCTATTTTAAGATGTGTTTGGCAGTCCTAAATATACTCAAAAGTGTAAAATGTTCACCACCAGAGATTGGCACGTTGGGTGAAGATGCTTATGTCTACAAGAGCTAGCAAACACCCACATCCATTAATTTTTTTCAGGAACAGTCAATTGGCCAACATTGATTATTGTTGTTTCCACCAACGTACAGACGGCATTGTGGAGTCTGCCTACTTTACACCTTCGCATGAACATTCAGGCTTGGGTGAGGCAATCAGGTGTGTTGAATGCGCTATTCAATGCAACAAAACAAGTTGAGTCATGACCCCATGCCCGACCACCATTAACATCAGTCTAAATTCTGCTACATCTCAACATCACAATAGATCCTAGACTGCACTGTCTAAAGCCAGCTTATACAGTCCAGTGTCCACCCCAATGGCAATGAACTGTCTGGCACTGTCACTGCTAAACAATACAATAACACTGGTCTAAAGACAGATCATGCAGTACAGTGTCCACCCCAATGGCAATGAACTGTCTGGCACTGTCACTGCTAAACAATACAATAGCACTGGTCTAAAGACAGATCAAACAGTCCAGTGTCCACTCCAATGGCAATGAACTGTCTGGCACTGCTGAACAATAAAATACCGCTGGTCTAAAGACAGACCATACAGTCCAGTGTCCACCCCAATGTCAATGCTTCCCAATGCAGTGACTTTCACTGGCAGTCATTCTGCAGAACACAGCTGAACATGCATTTTTGTGCTACATGGTACAGCAGCAGCTCTAGCCTCCTGATGAGATATTGGGGCCCTTTATACATCTAGCCATAAACAAGGATTGCTAGATACAGGAGATTCTGCCATTTACTTGATCGTGGTGAGGACAATAGAAACAGAAATATGATGAAGTCATATAAAAACAGATGATAGGTCTATTGCCCTATTACATTTTGCATCGGAGATGGTGGCAGAAAAGGTCTAGAAAGCCTAATGTGAGCCATTATCTTCCCTTCCATAAACAATCAGTGGGTGACCAATACATAAATCGTGGTTCATCCTTAAGTAACAAATGAGGGTTGTGATTGGTCATACAGGAACATTCAGAACATTGTACATAATCTGTTCCATTCACAGCGAGTGATTTATTCATACAGCATTGGCATACATTGGCAGCTTTTCTCTGCAGTGTTTGCTGGAAGTCATTATGGAATATCCAGCACTTTCCAGCCTGCACAATCGACGCTGGTATGTTAAGAGGTGATGGTTTGCGATCCTCTTCATGTCATATTTGCTGATTGTTGCACTGGAATTGTACTCCTTGTGCAGTAATCTCTCTTGGTACTGGTGGATTTTATTTGCTTGTGGCCACCACAACATAAGGAGTATATACATTCGGGCTGATTTGCAAATACTTGTGGAAAAGCAAACCATTGCTTAGTATCCATTTTCCATGTTTCATTTAAAATCAACCACTAGAGTTTTTTTTTTGTACTTGAGTATGGAGAATGTATACAACATTGCAATTGGCTACCAACACATTCTTTGTGTACACCCACCTGCCATTTTGCACCGTGTAGAGCCATCTTTGTAGGTAAGGGGACTTAGCAGAGACAACAGCGACTGGGTTTGTATAACATCTTTGTCTGATGTACTTCACAAGTGGTTGGCCAAGGGGGCACCTGCCTGCCCCTAAAGACATGAGATTGTCTTCCAAAATTGGACATAAGCAGGTATACTGAATGCATCTTTGTGCCTGGGCTACTTTACACTTGCATTCCATCATATGTCATAGGACCCAGACTGTCCATCTATAGGGTATGTCACCGCGTACATCCATAGTGTACACCAATGTGACATGGTGCAGTCCAGGACTGGTAGACTATGCATAGCTTGGCACATTGATATTTGATATTTTTATTTCTAACGCAGCATAATTGATAGGTACTCAGCTCAATACAGATTTTCACAAAAGAGTCTTTTCTCCCAAAAATTCTACTTAAAGCATTTTCTAAATCCAAGAACAAACATGTAATATATTGCAGCATACGAGTCCTTAGATGTGGTAACTGCATTCATTTATTTTTACCCCTTTTTCTAATATTTTCACCTGGTGCTCCTTCCAGTAACACACTTCCTGTCCTCGGGTGACAAAGCTGTCCTGTATCTATGGAGGAGCAGCATGGTCACCTTATGATGCTCACTCCTGATTTTAACTACAGAACACCCCCCTTTTCATCTGGGTCAGGGTTAATAAAACTGCAAAAGATCCCAGTGCAGCAGAAAGCACACCCTCATTGGATTTCTGGCAGGATCAACATTTGTTTTTGCGCTTATCAAACAGATATAACAAAGCTCTATTAATGCTCTATATATTTAAGATGATAGAGAAGCAAATTAGAAAAGTTAATTATTAGGGTTTACATTAAATTTATAGGTAAAATTGGCCACTATGAATAGATTAAAAAAAACGGCAGTCTCAAGTGGATCCGTCCATCCTGTACTTTATTCGGAAAAAGGCATAACAGCAGCAAACAAACATATGCTGACATGTTTCAGCCAAACTGGGCCTTAGTTGTAGCCACTAACTCTGCATTCTCTCTACAGCAGTGGCGTACCAATCGCCATAGCGACTCAGGCGGCCGCTATGGGGCCCGGCCAGGGCCGCCTGGGTCGATATGGCATGTGGGGGTGCTGGCTGTCACAGACACAGCTCAGCAGCGGCCACGGCGCATTTCCCCTCATAGCCGCTGCGGAGCTGTGTCTGTGACAGCTAGCCGCTGCGGCAGATGAGGGCCCGCCTCCTCTTACATCACTGGAAACCGACCTAAGAGTAGGTGGGGCCAGTTATGTAAGAGAAGGCGGGGCTCGTCGATAGCAGAGGAGGCGGGGCCCGGGGACGGAACAGGAGTCGGGGCCCGGCGACCACAGAGGTGCTGACAGGTAAGAGATCTCAGACCCTGCAGAGCCCACTATAGAGAGTCTATGGTGGGCTCTGCAGGGTCACTCTCCGCTTGGGCTCTGCAAGTGGCATGACTAGCAATCACGGGGCCCCATACAAAATGTTGCTATGGGGCCCTGTGATTTCTAGTTACGCCCCTGCTCTACAGTAATGTTAAATAAAATTGACCAGGGATAGTGGGGACCCCTTTATAACAGTTGCTGTGGATGGGAAGACTTAGTAACTCAGATGAGGAGAGCTTATCGCTGGAACTCCCCAAAAAAATATAATAACCTAGATGAAGTTTTATCTGGCCAGCAACCACACAAAGCTGAGACATGAATGTTGTGTGGGCTGACCCCTTGGCTCCTCGGTGCATCCCGTCTAGATATTGTTTTGATGCAGCAATGTCATTAAACTATATTTTATTTCACAACACATTACACATCAACCACTTATCAAACTGACGTTGATTAACGATTTAAATGTATCTGTTGAATTATGTAAGTAAATCAAATTAAACTAACAGGAAGCAGTGATTTTACCAACATGACAATGTGACAGAGAAACAATTGAGCCCGCTCTACATGTTCCTGTTTTCTAACACTGCTAGAGAAAAGATCAGATTGAATAATCATCTCGTCATGTGTGAGATCAGCCTAAAGCAATAATGTACAGTGTTCTAGAGTTAAAAAAAAGTAAATATTGCTTGCCTTAGAATAAATACAAATGCTGCTGATGCCGAGGCCATGTGGCATTAAGACTAAGCAAAACTCACATGATATCCTGAGTACCAGGAGCATTGTGGGAGTTTTATATCATTAGAGACTGTGGCCTATTGGCTTCAATGAGACAGACAATGTCTGGTAGACTTTTGCGTGAGATAAAAGGAGCAGCAAATTGCAATTGAGACCAATTGAGGCATTAAGGGAAAAATACAAATACAGTATATAATGGAGAGAAAGGGAGGCAGAGAGAGGGAGAGAGAGAGAAAGAATGAAAGAAAGAAAGAAAGAAAGAAAGAAAGAAAGGAAGGAAGAGAGAGAGGACGCGAGAGAGAGATCAAATTATAACTCTGCTTTATAGCCCAATTGAAGCTTCGGCATGAATAATAAAAATGACATTAAAATGACATGCTCTCTGCAGCGGTCTGACAGTCCCATCAATCTTCAGCTAGCGTTACTGATTGGACAGCTGTAATTCCGACTCACAGGAGGTGTGTCAGATTGCTGCAGATAAGGCCGGTGCTCCCACAGAGAGTGATTGCATGCACCCATTGCATTCTACATTAAAGAAAGGAATGTTGCACTGTGTCGGGGGGGCAGTTTACAAAGAAGGCAATAAGTGGGAGTGCCCTTTCGCTAATTTGATGCACCCTAATGTCATTTTTACTATTTGTAATGCAGATTCAGTTGGGCTTGATATCCTGGGCTAATAGGGGAAAGCTGCCTTGAGCCAGACAGCTCTACACTGCTCTGCGCCTGGATGCTGCAGGTTATTATTTTAAATTGATGCATCCATATTGTATTATTATTACGCTGCAACATTACTCTGAACATGGGAAATCTAATGCAGCGCGCAATTCCATTTCTGGGTGACATGATGCCTTGCAGACTTTCAATCTATACATTTTTTTTGTACATATTGTACTCAGCAATGTTGAAAGTGTCTATTTACATTCAATGAATCAAACTGGCCAAACCATAGCATCTCTACAGAGCAACAAGTACATCATCTACTTATACATTATTATCATATTATATATCATACATGTTTACATTTTACTTGCAGTACCACACCAGGAATAAAACATTGGTACTGTGCATCTTCTTCATTCAGAAATATTAGTCTCTAAACGGAACAAAAAAGCATCAGAGAGTCTTGTTTCGGATCATAGGGACTGGGACTGGTCCAGTGCTTCTACACGGAGGGATGTGTGGCAGTGGCCCAGTTTTATAATTAAATGGGAAACCCCTTAAATTACCACATTTAAGCTTTACATACATCTCATTACCACTCCACGTCCTCTGTGGCTTCACTTTTTATCCTTTTCCTGTTTCATTTCCCTTTCCTTGTCATTTCTCAAATGACATCTTCTATAACTTTCCCAAAACTTCCTCTTTCCTCATCCACAAACACTTTGCTTTCAAGGTAAAAAAAAGAAATAAAACAGATGTCCATACTGCAGACATTACCATGTGTTGTTGGATGTACCTCCAAACTAGATAAATAATTGTAACATAAATTCAATAAAATATTCAATAAAGTATTTAATGAAATACTTTTTTTTCAGTTAATTTTAAGGCAAAGTTTAAAAAAAAAAAATATCTGAAATCCAATTAAAATATATAGATTTTAAATTGTCCTTCTGCACATGTAGTGCTTCCTCCATCTTGAACTACTGTCCTCCATTTTATATGCTGTTGTAAATAGTAGCTTTCTTGTATTACTCTTTTTTTTTAGCTTTTTTGTCACTTATTAAATAAATACCATAATAATATAGTAATAATAATACTAACCATAATTATTTTCATTTGATCAATTACATTCTGCCTGTAACTTGTGTAAATAAAGTTAGAAAAACATGATTTGTAATGCTTGATATGTATATTCATCAACATTAGCAGTGGATTTTTTTTAGATTTGCTAAAGGATACAATTTTTAATATGTGAGCCTGAGACCCAATGAACTATTGTTATACCTGATTTTTATTATTATATGTTTATTACAGCTCTTGTAACTATTTAAAAAAAAAATTTAATAGTTGCCTTTTACTGTTTCAGCAGCTATTTTGGAGTTCCAGAAACCTTCACTGTGTTCAATAACAACACGCGAGTCAAGAGACGCTCGGGACCCTATGAAGTAGAGACTATTGAAGGTAAGCTATAAGCTTTTAATGCTATTTAATTTGAGAAGTGCAGCTTACAGTTTAACAGGTATAAGTGTAAAAGGGTTTACTATTTCTGTAGAGACTGTGTAAAAAAAATCTGCTGATCCAGAAAATCAGGTAGACCTCTGCCCCTGCTTCTATTTCATTAAGCAGGCGAAAAAACAGCTCCTAGCACATATATACTCTTCGGTTTACTAAGGCATTCCTTTAAAAATTAATGGAATAGGTTTACAATTCAGGTAATAGGTTCACCTGACACCTGGGGTGCAGCACACAAGCTGAAAACCGAAATACAGCCTGCGGTGGGAGTGTTTGCTGTGGAAGAGGTTTTGGCAATATGGGGGAGATTTAAGTAGACCTAGGGTGAGAAGGAAAAAAATGTGTCACGCTCCTTATTCTATGGGACACAGCAGGAAAGATAGATGATGAGTAGATGTGCCTTCGCTTACACATCTGTTGCAGGTAAAGCAATTCGTAGGTGTGTTTCAGCCAAGTATCAAGCTGTTTGGCTGCAACTGCTCTTAAATATCTTATACACGTAGCTCAGTTTTACATGATCAGTTATTTATTTTTTTTGCTTTGTAAATGAACCAGTTTCTGAAAACAAATCACATATATATATTTAATTCAGAATGTAAAGAACAAAGACTGGCAAAGTGCCGTAATCAATAGCTACCAATTATATTCCAGTTTACTGTAGCCAGGTGGAAGAAATATGATTTCTGTTCTTTAAGGGATATGGGAATACACGTGTAATCCCATATCCCTTAAAGAACAGAAATCACTGAATTCCATGTTATTAAGGTTAGTTTTTATAGGGTTGGTAAGTACGGTACCACATCCAGCCCAACATTCCATGTTCTAAGGTTAGTTTTGATAGTGCGTGTTGGTAAGTGGAGTACCACATCCAGCCCAACATTCCATGTTCTAAAAGACTTTATCCAACTGAATAACTATATAATTATAAAAGGATATGACAGAGCCAACACCAGACAGTATCTAGAGAGAGCATTTTAGATAGGAAGGCAGAATAGCAAATAAAATCACATAGAGGTTCAAACCTGCAAATCCTGCTGTACTAAATGAATGTGTTTTTGTTGTGGTCTCTGTCTGAGAGGTTTCCCATAACATCCTGTCCCATTGACCCCCCATCCCCTATCACTAGGACAGAAAATGAGGGGAAATTTCCTCAACAGGGATACAAACTGTAAAAAAAAGCCAGAAAGAGACTTTACACTTCTGCAGTGACATTTTGAATCGCACCCCAATGCACCAAGGCAAAAAAAGGATCACGACTCCAAAGACATGCTGGTAGGTTAATTGGCTCCTCTCTAAATTGGCCCTCTATATATGCATGTGAGATAGGGACCTTAGATTGCAAGCTCCTTGAGGGTAGGGACCTCAAATACCTGAAATAAATAAATTTTCGCCTATGGCACCCCATTAATTTCAATGGGCTGCCTTAACGCAATGCACAATAACACAAAAAAAATGCATTGCAAAAATTTAAATGGACCCTAACCCCCTCCCCATGCTATATAAAACAAAACATGTTCTCTTGATCTGGCCTTTAATGATGGGCACTCTTACTATGAGAAACATATAAGGAAATGTTATATACATTATTATTGAGTAGGGTTTCATAATTAATTTGAAGGAGACATTGCCACCTATTGCTTATAATGATGCTGGCCCTGGGAGATTGCACAGCAGTGACAATGATGTTGTCAACTGCCTACAGGAATTTAGGGGCTCACTGGATTTCTGGCAAAATTAACAGTTGTTTTTTTGTACTTGTAGTGTTTTTTTCTAAAGAGACAGATATACTGCACACACGCACACATACACACAGATATATATATATATCAAACCTCACATGGCTGGTGTCACAGCAGATCACATGTGGACTACTATGGCACCTACAAGACAAATAGAGGCTAACAGTACTTTCCTTGGCTGTCAAGGATAGACGGGTGTAATTCTGCTTTAAAAGGTTCCTCTCAGCACAAGTGTTATTTAAACCCTAAAGAGTAACTTCATTCGCCACACACACTATATATATATACACACATTTTTTTGCTATTGCCCAGACACACATTAAGAAAAAGTGTCCTCAATGCCTCTGTACTTGTACCGTTGCAAAAATATCATCAGTGTTCTCAACTGTTCCATAGAAAGAAAGCAGAATGACCTCTCTGCAAACATGCAACAGTTAAAAGCCACAGATGACTCCGTTAATGTGCAAGTGTGATGCTGCCGCCATTGCTTATGGTTAATACACATTATTTTAAATTCAAAGCCTAAGGAGGTCAACACAATCATTTCATGCCAAAGCTGTCCTGTATATGACACATTAATGCCTAGCAGTGTTTTATTTTTATTTTTTTACATTACCTGACATGACAAGGTAGCTATTATCAATTATTATAAACTAAGTAAGTAAAAGGTTTTTTCCTAATTACATTGGAATCTGAAGGTTAGATGTCCACATGCCTATAATCTAACCTTTTCTCGAGATAAATCCTTTTGCTTCATGTTTTTTTTCCCCAGGGCCTCCTCAAACAAAGGTGGTCCGTCGTATCTTCACAAACAGTCGGGAGAGATGGAGGCAGCAGAATGTGAATGGAGCTTTTGCTGACCTCCGCAAGCTTATTCCCACTCACCCTCCAGATAAGAAGCTCAGCAAGAATGAAATATTACGCCTGGCTATGAAATATATCAACTTCCTAGCCAAACTTCTTGATGACCAAGAAGAAGAAGAAGGCACCCAAAGGAGCAAAATAAGTAAAGATAATGGTATGGTCCAACAAGATCTTCTCCAAGACATGCTTTCCCCAAACTCAAGCTGTGGAAGCTCACTAGATGGTGCGCCAAGCCCGGACAGCTTCTCAGAAGATCAAGACACAATGGACTCCAAACACAGCAGAAGTCTCCACCAGTCTATGCTCCCGATAGAAAGTAATGGTCAGCGATGACACATTTGGGGGAAAAAGATACCCTATTGACTGTCTATTGACTGGGACCTATTGGCTTGGGTCGTAATCCCTTTTTCACTGTGTTTATTGACACATCTGGGATAGCAAAACAATATTTCTTCTTAAGGTACTCTGAAAAACCCTCAAAGTTTGAACATTCAGGCCATGTCTACAATGGAAGAATATTACCTGGAAAGAGTAACTCTCAAAACTCAGTTCAGATTTTCCTTTGAGGTTTGTCCACACTTTCCAAACATGTAGCAGTTTGATATTGCTGTATATGCAACTTGGGAATTACATTAATACTAATGACAATGTTCCATATTTAGTACAAGTACAAATGGCTCACAGACCAAATGAGCTGAACAAATAATTTTTAATTTAATATAAAATACTATTTTTTGTGTGAAAATGAGAAAAGCTTGTTTTTTTAAAAATGCTTACTTAGCTGTAAAAGAAGCTAATCTTATATTCACCCTGAGACTCTTCTTACAAAGCATCCCTGGTGTTTAAAGTTGAGGGATTTGGGGCCCTATAAGACAAAACAATGGAAATATTTTTATGTGGTACCTATTGGAAGAAGGTACAGTATATATACATTGGTTATACTTGTTCACTATACAAAAGTATTTTTATTATTTATGATAGAGCAGCATAATATCTTATGGCCGGATGATGTGTAGAACCATGAGTAATATAATATATAACATTTTACTAACTGCAGTGCCATTTGGTACTATGGGTGGTGTTGCTTTCATGAAGACATGTTTGGGCTTATGCAAAGAGCAGGGGTGTATAAGTTGTTGAAAAGTGATGATAGGGATTAGTGCTCACCACTACTCTTTGTATTATATTATTAGACAGGACAGCTCAAGGACCAATGGTTTCCTGTAATCCATAGCAACCAGTCAGACGCTAGCATTTAGCACCACAACACAAAGTCATTGCTGTTTGCAATGCATGGGCTTAAAAGCAATGCAGAAAATGCAGTTAGCATTGGTAGCAATGGCAACCAATCATTCAGATTGATTGCCATTGAATTCCATTGAAAGCCAAATTCTTATTTTTATACAAACCAACTAAAGAATCATTAATACCAGCTAGTGCTCAAGAATATGGTGTTATTGCCTCTATGAACCAATCTGATTTTTCTACCAAAGGCAGGAGATGAAAGCCAACTCTTGATTGGCTGCTGTGGGCAATAGAACTGTTTTTTACTTTGCACTATTTTTTTAAGGCGACCTAAAATGTTTCTAGTTGCCTTTGTATAGAGCAAAATGCCCTTCTTTGTTTGTCAAGAGCGACCTCAGCTCAAGTTTACCACTTCCTTGGGTTTTATGGCAGTCATGAAATCTACCAGAATAGTCTCACGTCCTTTTCTTTTCCTTGGAAGCAAAAGACATTGACATTCTGGTTACATATTGAAATTGTGCATTTGTATTTAACATGCCGTGTTGTAGTGGTCTCTTAGAACGTACCGGGCATAATATTTATAAAACCATGAATGGATTTTTTCATGTATGCATTTTTTCCAATCACTTCATTTTTTGCTGTAACATACATTACACCATTACCAATACACTAAAATCATGGGCCAGCCTTCAATCATTTCATCCTCCTTTCAAAGGGTGCATCATTGAGCAGAACCTCATGGAATGGAGTATGTGGTCTACCATTTTGACCTTTCTTATTCACATTATTTGCCAAACCCATACATCGCCTGTCTTCTCATATTCCTTCTCATGTTCCTTCTCATGTTCCTGTTTTTGCTCCTGTATTCAGTAAATGTTTGCACAGTGTTAAACCAGTGGTCTTCGTAGGTCATAGGTCACTAAGTCTTTTCATGTGTTGCAGTGGTAGACGCAGGGTCTCCCTGCTGTATGTTTCCATTGTGGTTAGTGGGCATTGCCAACTACACTCTCTGGCTTGTGCTTTTTTATGTAATCTTAGTGTGGTGGCATCCAATCCTAATGATTCAAATCTAAACACCAGTATAAACAAACATTGTCTAAATGCAAGGGGCATGTATATTCTTACATAGGGACTGATTTATAACTCTTCTGTCCAGCATATATTTGGAGTATGTCCAGGCCCAGATTAACAAAGGGGCTACTAGAGCACAAGTCCCAGGCCTGCCACTGAAAATAGGCCTGGCAGGCCCAGATCGCCTTGGGATGCCAATGGCAATCTGGGCTGGCCAGGCTGGACACAAATCAGGTAGAGGTTCCGGCCGCTGCCTAATCAGGTATATTATGCAGCTGCTCAATGGGGCCTTGTGGGGCCCCAGTGAGGAGCGAGCCGCTACCTAATTAGAGAGCAGCCTCTATGCAGCCAATGTACCAACAGCACCCTGCCCATGATGCTCTTAATCCAGCCCTGGGTATGTCCCTTGAGTGGGGTTGGGGTGGTCTTATTGCCACTAGATGGCACTATGGAGCATAGGCCTAGTTCTGGGAGTGATAGATTCCCCTCTGTGATATGGTGTTCCACTGATGTGTGCACTGGTTTTGGAAGATTGATGGCAGGCTGGTCTCTAGTATACTGGGGCCTTTAGGAGCTTTTAGAAGAGAGTATCAGGATAAAACCTCCCTTTCCTAACCTAAGATTTTTTTTTTGTCACCTATGACAAGAATGTACAATATACTCATTTTGTAACCATTGGCAGCCATATTGGGAGCTCAGTAGACCACCTCCGGCAGAATGCAGTCTGTGAAAGGATTAAGAACCAGCACCATCACCGAGAGGCCTAGAATGCCACTGATTTAAACACTGCTCCACTATTGTTCATCATGAAACATTTACTGCCTATCAGTGCCATTATCCCATCTTTACAGTCACTGAGGGCCCATTCACATCTCTCTGGGCCGTTGTGGTGCATTTTGTCATGCATTAATTTGCATTGCGTTAAGGCAGACCATTCATTTTATTGCACCACAACAGACCTGCACCATCTTTTCCAATGCAGTGCACTACATCGCACAGTAGTGTGCTACCATGTGTCATTCAGTGCATTGGAGTGAAAATAACGTATGCATGGGATAAATGGGCTCTGAGGATTTTGTGGCATAACATAATGACATTTAAGAATTATGAGTGAAACCGTATATACACGGACTTATGTTATAAAGGTAAATGCACAATTTCAATGTCCTGAACATGACTTTTAAAAGAACCCTACAGTGAGGGAGATCTGAAAGCTGCTATTGCTGCTTCCGAAAATGGCTCCAGTGCTTTGTGCTTCACTGCAGCATGCAAAGGCAGAGTGAAGAATAGGTTCACTGCGAAAGTACTGAAGCCATTGGATCACTAAGAGAAGGACAGCAGCGGCAGCCATCCAATATTCTCCATTTGGGTACCACTTTATAGGCATAATCTGGGTCAAATGAAATGGGCAATATAGGTACACCCAGTACATATTACAGTGGGGACAAAACTGTCTCCTTAGAAATTTGTGTTATTAAACAGAAATCTTGTCTGCCATAAAAACCAATTTACTGCCCGGGTAATGATGTGTGGCTACAAAGGATTCCTCTGCAACGTGTAGTATATTGGGTATTAAAGGTACATCGGCCTTTAAAACTGTGTCCCAAAACTGTCTTCTTCCTAACCACATGTTAAAGGAGAACTCGTGTCATTGGGTTTGAAGTGAGCCCGGTATTAAAATGTTATAATTTGATGTCCTGGTGCCATCATCATCTCTACATCATTTATGTATTCAGCGGAGCTGTCTCCCTGCAGTTCTGCTTTATAATGTATTTCCACTTTTACAGCCTGAAATGGGTAACACCTATTTTACATGTCCAACATGTTCCTGTTTACATAGCAAACATACCTAGATGCCGATCATCTTTCTATAGAAATGTGGGCTTTGTTACATGTGACCATTTTAAACTTTCTGTTAATAAATTACAATTTTTCTAACGCTTTAAAGAAAAACTGTGGGCAAAACTGTTATTAACCCTTGCAGTGGGGCTGCCCCATGCACTGCAAGGGTTAACTGCTCATTTTAGTCTAGGGAGGAAAATAACAAAGTTTTCCTCTGAGCCGGCTTGCTCTAAGACCGGTCCTTCCAGCCTCTCTCCACCACTACAGAAGCAGCCTAAGGTCCCTGAGTCATCATGTTCTATACACAGTGTATAGGGTGTGAGGACAGCAAGGGACATACTGTCGCTGCAGCATAGGAGGGAGGGCTGTTATAACTGGCTGGCTTGGAGGATCGTGTGAGTACAACAAAACAAATGGTTAACCCTTGCAGTCTTTCATCTCACTCCATAAGTATCGGGTTGTGCCGTAGGATTTTATCAGTCTGACACTTGGCACAGGTAGAGGGTACTGAAGGATTGTAGGAACCTGGAAGTGCTCAATACAATACTGTGAAATGGTATCCCGGTGGAACTAGGACATAACAATGAAGTCATGTGCACACTAAACTTACGTCTTCATCCTCGCTCACTCAGCCCTGATAAGTGGAGTTCTCCTTTAACATCCTGATGGGTCGCATGAATG